GAAATCAGCACAGAAAGATGAAGTTATCAAGACAAACATTAGAATAGTAGAAGTAGTAAAAGAATCAGTATCAGCAGAAAAGATTGATCATAAACAATATGATTCTAAGAAAAAAGAATGAATCCGCAAAATAAAAATTATCAAATAACTTTTAAACTCAAGATCTTAAGAAGAATAAAGAGTGCATAAATCTGTTCGATTGTGGCCAATTCTGTGCCATAGCATTCAACGTCTCCAACCATTATTGGTTTTGATAATCACGGGGATCCTAATCAGGTAGTTTGAAATTTCAGTGTTACTAGTAAGATTTATGATAAAAAGTTGTATTGGCGGCAGATATGGGTACATTTATTTTGATTTATGTTGTTCACATGTATGTAAATGGCAAAAAGATGACAATCAAGTTTTTAATATATAGTTCTTCATTGTTAACATCACTACTGCTTTTTTTGACAGTGGATTTTAAATACTTGTATATAATCTTATGCATTCAATTCCTTAAAATAAACAATATTCTACCAGGATAGATAGCAAAATACTAAGAAATAGTTTATACACTACCAGTGAATTGGATTTCAGGTAGTTTTTAGACAATAATAATATTTGTTAAGTTGAATCCAAAGTTTAAATTTTTTGTTTGAATACTTTTTCAACATGATTATTTAATTAAAAGTCATTTCATCCAAAATTATTCTAATTATGACTATATTAAATTCTTTTTGCTAAAATACATAGTTTGAATAATCCATTATCTCTAGCTTTGTATATGATGTATACCTCTTCTTATTGTAAATCAAATTTCTCTTCTTATCATTCTATCGTCTACATATTTTTTTTGTCTCAATATTTTTTATTTGTATTTTATTTACATAGAATTTAGGTGACATTCGATCGATAGATTACCAAAATCATGTACCAATTTCAAATGAAGTACAAGCCTGTGCTGAGCATATTACACAGGTTCAATTGCATCAACGTGCAGATCAAACGCAAGATCGTATGTTTAATTTATAGTTTTCTCGTATTTCACCAACTGACTTAATTAAACTTTCTTTAAATAAGTTTTTAATTATTTCAATCCATTACAGTAAATTGATTCTAAATAAAATGTTTTATTAATTATTAACTTCATTCATATTCGAGTATATTCCTCCTATATGCATTGGTCACCAAAATATCAACGTTTATGTACCGATTATTCAGTGATGTGTGTAAACACTTTAGAACGTTGTAGTCATTTACTCGATAATTAGCATAAATCATATTTAATCAGTAGTGTATACACTTGTCACTCAACCATTTGGTAATTGATCTTAACAAATAGAATATATCAGTTATCCGCTTATAATACATGTAGCTCTTAGTTCAATGCATTTAAATTTGAATAGTTTATTGTTCTGTTTACTTTGTCTGCCATGTATTACACCATTGGTGCAAATATGGTTCAATTACTTTTATTCAAAAGTCGATTACTATATCTCAGCATTGTGTCTGACGAAATTTTAATGATAATGCTTACTCAATAATTCTTCAGCGACATTTATCCGTACACGGAGCTATTATAATTCAATAAATTTCATTGATCATATATACTTGCTTACTGATAATGACTTTGTAAATAATAGTGGTCAAGAACGCACATAAAATATTTTTCAAGTGACCTATATAAAAATTTAGTCACAGATTTAAAACCATCGTTATTGTTGGTATTTACACGTATAAATCTTATAGCCTAGATCATAAAATTGGGTAATAATTATTGAGTTGAATTAATAATACATATGTATTAATGGGTGATGTACTTTTCCAAAGCTGTGACCATATATTTCTGGTTAGTAATATTAGTTATATTTGATGCAAATATTGCACATAAAATATAGACAAATTGTTGTAAAACAAGTTATACTCAAATCATCTATTAATAGCTAAAATACTTGCAGATGATTTTGTGTTCAGGCGTTGCTGGTTAGCACAAATAAGAAAGCTGATTACTCCCCCCCCATTAGATGAGCTAAAATATTAAACTATGGAGAATTTCACGTCTTGGTTTAGTCAACTAGCTGTTTGAAATATCAATTACTAGAGGTGTTGTAGTGTTGTTATATTCAAATGTATAGAGTAAGTCAGTAATGATATATAAATCACCTTTTTTTCTGTAACAGTACAGCAATAATTGGTTTACACAAAACCTACCAGCTGACGGCTTACAAACAACTACACGGGTTTTCATTAATTTTACTGAATTAAATATATTTTAAGTAGTGTGTACTTTTCGTATACATCAGTAAAGTTATGACACCTATTTCATTACAGCATTGTTACGGAATTGAAAAATATAACAGTTTATTTTTCATTAATTAATCACAGCCCCAACTCCATGCCCTGTATCAGTTGGTTTATCTGATATAGATGGGACAAAAGAGAATCAAGATCCAGGGAAACAACAAAAAGTTAAAAATGATCCGAACAGTGCACTTTTTCTGGATGTCAGTTCACTTGCTCCTCGTAATTCATATTGTGCTTTATGTGATACGCATGATTATCTACATCAAATTCATTTACCAGCTTATTTAATCTCTCCCTGTTATCATTGCCGTGAGTTTCTTGCAAATGAAGCTAAAATCACTCCTGAAATTCTCCTAGACTTACATTTACAAGTAAGTAATTCTAATTATTAATTTATATCACTCACTCAATCGTTATTATTTATTTCAACACATAGATAATGGTACAAAGAGGCACTAAATACATATGCGCCACACAAATCTCATTCGATATGTGTGAGGGCTGTGATACTGCCCGGGTGCCCAAACCGAAGCAGGTGGTTTTCTTAGGGGGCCACACCCCGAGCCTTCGACCTGAAGGTCTGATCCACAAGGCAGTGGAGCATCGTAAGGAGATGCAGTCCCATGGAAGCCGGTGACCAACAATTGGTTCATTCGCCATTTGTTCCCGCAGGATACTGGTGCCCATGTGCACCATTGGTTTGGAATCCGGTTAAAGCGCCGGACATTCGCTTTTCGTCCTCTCATTTTCGTAAACAACACCCCCGCCACGAGAAGGCAGTGAGTAGGACTTCCCTGGCAGAGGCTATATACGCGTGGCCGTGTGAGAGTATTTCGAGAGGGAGAGCGGACTCTCCCCACTCTCGGCCGTACCAAGGCATTTGGGGGCCTCAATCGTTAGTAATATGTGGTGATTAAATTATATTAGTTCACAACTAATTGTTATATCTATCATAATGCTATGTTAATCAATGTAGAATTCGTCCGACTGTTTATACGAGCATTCAGGGGTGATCAAATTATCTTTTTAGACTAGCTATCATTCGGTTTTAGCATTACTTTTTGCATAGTGCTATAAATGTCCTCCGAATAACTCTCCTAGCCCTTTTTGGAGTATCAATGATCGCTTAACTTAATGACTCGATATGATACACGGTATAAGAATGTTATGAAAGCTTACGCATTTTGTATACCTTTTTACACACTGAAGTTTAGGAATAAATATTGAATTGAAAATTCTCTTGTATGACCCATCCATAAAATTTCCTTTTTTATTGAAGCATAACATTCCTTGGCCAGGATTCCTGCAAGCTAGATTTGGTATCCCCAATGATGGTCGGTCAACTGAAGAACTAATTGCTTATGACTGCCGCTGGCGGAGCAGACAACCTTGTCGATGTTTAGCTTCTGTAGATGGTTCGTTATTACCACCCTGTGTCGAATTTCCATGGTTAACTCCTACAGTTTCAACAGGTTCATTCGAAGTTACTGATATATCAGCAAATCAAAGCAAATTAGACAAACAAGATTCATTAAATACACAAGTGGTTGCAGAGATTTCTTCACCCACCACTACAGATCCGCGTACTTCTGATTTTTCTGCAACGGCACGTAAGCTATTTGATTTTATTAATAATTATGGATTAAACTTAATTTATGCTACATAAAGCAATCTCAAATATGTATTTTTTTGTTACAGAAGCACAAACAAATCAATCGTTGCCTACCCCTACTACAACCTCGGTGAGTACAAGTAACACGTCAGTTGCGGGAAATACGAATATATGTTTAAAATCAATTTTGCCATGTTCAAATAGGCATATTCGCGGTGCTCCCATTACCTGCTGTCATGGCATACATTTTCCTTTAGTTGGCATACCAACCGTGTCAACTTCATCTACCAATCAAAATACAGATACTGGCTGTATCCCGTCTATTGATTCTTCTAATGCACAATCAACGACCGATAGAGGATCAGTTGTTATAACTCAAGAGATGCAACAAGCAGCACCGTTAACAAACGACGTATCATCCTAATATTGTAATTTTTATCATTGTCATTATCCATAATCATTTCGTAAATGTGATTCGAAAATTGTGCAATATACAATTGTGTGCATATATAGCTACCTATCTTTTGAATAGTAACAATCTCAGAATCTCATTATAAAATAATGTTAAAATCTAGCACACATCTCTACTATAATTACGGCACTAGTCTTTGTAATACTGTCAAACATTATTTGCCTTTCAAAACGAAAAAAGATGGAAATAAATTGTTACCTATAGTTAACTGTAATTTTGTGGTTTATACTTTTTTAATTAATTTTTTCGTCGCTTTAGCTATACACTTATTTGTATTGTTAACATATATTACACAACATAAGACGTATCAGATGCTGTTTGCAGTATCTATTTTCGAAATAAAGAGAAACAATTTGATAACATAAAAGTAAACAGATAAAAATTGTTTGTAAAAACAATTCAGAGTATACTGAATGCATAAAAGTCCATGCATGATAATACTGTTAATGCGATGATAATCCATTTGATGCGGAGTTGGGTCTATACGAATATATAGTTTTTATAAAATAAGCAATTTCTATCGAAAAATTGTCTTGTTTTTCAATCGAGATATGGTAGAAGCTCTCAACTTCCGTACCTTTTTCAATGATTTATCCCGAATGGTTGATAAATTCGTTTGTGACAGACTAGCATGTCGCAAACTGAGGCATATTTCTAGATTATAAATAGCCACAACAAATAAACATTTAAAAAAAACTAGTCAAAATTAATAATCAAATATATACAAATAAGGCAGGCGATTATGACTAAGTTAGGATTTCCATCCAATAGGCAAATCTCATCAGTCCTGGTGTTTTAGTGTCTGACAAGAGCTCTATTGGTTTTTGCCAACTTGTGGTGTTGACGATGTATCTATCTACCAACCATAGGACAATTCTAACGTGCAGCAGTTCGCTCTATTTTATTATAGGGCTGTGAAACAACCCTTAGAGATAGATGATATTCAAAGGTTACTAATATCAGACCACTGATCTTTTCGAATCATTGTCGAGGTCATCGAGTAAACACTTTTGAGGTTGGACACATGGTACTGGGTAAGAATGGAAAATCAGTTGATGAAATAGTAGATATTTAGTCGACTGAAGTAGTCTGGCCGTGCTTGATGTATACCCTGACTTCACATACCTTGACCCTCGATGTCTGATGGTGTAGAAGTTGGAAGAATGCTAAAGGCAGTCGAACTAAGATGTAACATCGGTCCACAGAGTCATTGACAGTTGAATCGAAACTTATAAACTAGTTACGGACTACTGGGTTGGAGACGTTAAGTGATATAAAGCAGAATCACTCACATGGCACTAATAGGTTTTCTCCAAATACCTCTTATTTAAGATTACTCGTACTTTTCATCCTACAAATTCATTATTTTTTTTCTAATCATATTTTGAAGGCCTGATTCTTCACACCGCCACTACATCTATAGCATTTGTCTTAATAGTTTCATATAGCTGTGCCAATATGATGTGGTAACGTGAACTGGTGCACATATGACAGGTTCTACGATGCACATGACTAACCGACTTTTCCTTTTTGAACTTCTCGACTCTAACTACTTTGGTGCAACAGTAATCATTCTCAGACGGATATGAGCTACATTGTGACGTGACATTTTTTTATTGAAGTCCTATATTAAACAAGTTGAATGTAGATTGATGAAACTAGAATCAACAAATTTAGGTTTGAGTACGAAGTATTATCGAACGTAATAGGGTGTGAAGAATTAAGGTCTAGCACTCGGATGATCGGTGATGGTAACTCCCTTAACTGCAAAAACAGGACAGTTACGAAAATAATACTTATACTGTCTCTTTTCATTTGATCTTAACTTACAATTGTAAATATAATATTTTATCTATAAAAATCTAAGATGTTCTTAAAGCTAATAATGAATTGTCATTTTCATCTGGTAAATTGGTTTTTTTATAAGCCATTCATAGATGAAATAACCAATCTTGTTATTGATGACAGTTTAACAGCATGTAGAAGCTTAGATATCAAGCCAATGTGTAATATCTTTTTGTTTGTGCAAATACAATCCTAATCCTGAATTTCCCTTTTTCTTGGTAAGATATATTCTACGTAACTTTTCATAAGAGTTGTAGATTATAACCTTTTCCGATAATTGAAGATAATGAAATCTAGATCGTAGTATCAACCGGCTAAAGGTATTTATAACTATCGAAAATCCCCTACATTAACTGTGACTAACACCATGAGTTTGAAAAATACTTTGATGAACTGAATTTATTAATGACAGAAGCTTACGTTTGAATTTACTTTCGAGGGTTCTTCGGCTAGATGATCTCGCTCGATGCCTACAAAGAACAAATTTTATACACTAACAAATGTTATTGCAAATACTAAGCATTAGGTTGAAAATGTCAAACTACTTGATTTTGTATTGATCAGTTAGTAACAATTATATGATAATATTGGATCATAAGTAGAATATTTTTATCAAGTTAAAAAAATAATTTGGCTTAGGTATTCTATTTCAAGACCGTTTAAAATAAATAAAATTATATGAACGAAGAATATTCTTTTCTACAATTATATACCTAAATTATTAATCCATAAAATTGGTCAGGTTTAAGGCAGAGTACATCATGCTATAACTTTAAATGATGTACTCTGCCGTAAACCTGGTCAATTTTATGGATTAATAATTTAGGTATATAATTGTAGAACATGATGAGAAATGATTGGAAAAGATATTCTTTGTTCATATAGTTGTGCTTTAATATAATGAGAATTTTTCAGTTATTAAAATGAGTAGTTGGTTTACGATGTGAAACGCATTCGAATCGCCACTCACTTCCAAAATCGTGTACGAATGAATGAGCTCGCAACATACAGAAACTGTCTGTTGGCTAGTACCTAAGGATTGTCTAACGCGAGTACGTTATCTGTGAAGTTCTTAAATTCGGCTTTTAAAACATATTTTAAAATTTCGGAATGAACACGTGGTTGCAGATATACTTTCTGATAGGTGTCAACAAGTATGAAAGGACTTGAAGAGTATAAAATAAATCACTGTGTTAAACACGAAACAGGTTACAATGGTTTTTGAACTGTCATTAACGTAAGTATAGCAAAACTAGAAAGATTATTTTTCCTATGGAATCAGGACCTGCAACATTAGATTTTGCGATCAGAAACGTTGCCACTGAAGTATTCAACTTGTCGGTAGCCTACTTGACGCTTATGTCTTAGTACTAATTAAGTCATGTCGATCATATTCAAATATGGTCGATAGACACGCAAAGTCGACATTGCGATTAAAAATTACTACAAAACAATATGAAGTTTATATCCAGGTTTTTCTAAGTATCTCCAACAACCTGACACCATACACAGTGCATTACAATGTAGATTCACCCAGTCAATTGATCACATTGTGTTTTAATTTACTGAATTTAGCCGTTAAAGTTCAGACAAAATGATAATTGGTTACTACAACAAATCATTAATATTCATTTAGAGCTTTTCTTATTATAATAAACAAACACATACTTTGGTTTGAAATCTCCAGTGGATTCTGAAAGTTCAGCTCTTTTGTCAACCACATATAATAAGTCAGCAATCAGCTCTTCTTCACGAGCTTTTTCTTCTTTAGTCTTTAGAATGTCTACACAAAAAGTATACAATAAAGGTGTATTATAATGAAACATAAAGTCACAATTCGTTTTCATTACCTTCTTACGAATAACACTAAAATTTGTATGTATCAGGTGCAAGCTTATGCGAATCTAATGAGCCTATTATTATCATCACATATCATGCAAATTTTATTTCAGAAAAACTTCTGAATATTTTTATACACACTTATAAATTATGTGTTTATGAACTTAGTGAGTCCTAACACTGAAAATTCTGATTAATTTGTAATATCCCAGTAAGTAGAGAATTAAATTTCTCACGTTTCGTAACCTATTGTAAGCTGCTTCTTGAAAGTAAGTAAGTATAATATAGTATTAGTTAGCTTTAGTTATAAAATGCTTTACTGATTATTCACTTCATTTAATGTATAGAGTTAAATAAATGGTATTTAGATTTTTGTAAACGCTACATTTCAACTATGTACAAGTTTGTGGACAAGGTCTTGAAACTTGCTGATTCTGTCAAGCTGTCAGGATTGTATATCAAGTGAATGAAAGCTTGAAACAGAAATATAACAGCTTAATATTTAGAAATTAGATCACTGAAATACAAGTAATCATTTTTAAAAACTTTCAGATCACAATTAATATAACCATAAGTTTTATTTATGAACCTGAACTATAAGTGAGGAGAAAAAATATATTTTTGATATCTCTTAGTAAAATGAATAATACAAATTTTACATACTACTATGTGATATAATACACAATCAGTCTTACCTGACCGATTGAATTATTTGCTTTATTTTATGATATGTAAACCAATACCCAATGGCGCATGTTTAATTCATGAGAACACCTTCAGTTTTTCGTATTTCAATCTACTTATATATATATAATTTTTATTCCAATGAGTTATTTATAACAGAAAACTCATACTAGTTTGGTAGTGTTTACTTAGAATTGCTACTTTATTCTACTGTAATAATAATTGAATTATTCTTTGTAAAAAAAATTACTGTTAAAATAATATGCTTCACAAAAATCTGATAATTAATACTATTATTTTGTCTATAAATTTGTTAATATTGTGCGCAATCAAATGGAGTAATGAAAACAATTGATAAATGTAGATTTGCTATTTTAAGTAAAACAATTTTTTTTATTCTTATCTTAAGACTGATTATATTTATTCATTGTTTGATATCCTTCTATCTGGAAAGTTAATTGTATATGATTTATAGATTAGGTAGTAATCAATTTTATCTTGACAAGAAAAAAACAGACTTCATCTTACTTCGTTGAAGCAGAAACATAAAAAATGACCAAACAAATGAAAACATTACCAATATAATGATTATATAATAAAGGAATTCAACGAAACTAGAAGCATACACTTCTTTACCACTTTCTAATATTCAATTGTTATGTAGTTGGTATCATTTTGTGACGAAAATTATCTCTTAAAAAATGAATTGTTTTAAAGTATCATACTTTTAAATGATACAAGAGAAAACATTGAAAGTATGGAAAGAACTATAAAAGTATAGATTTCAATATTTAAAAACATGCACAAAAGGGTTTGATGCTTAACTATATTACCTAGAATACGAAACTGTTGGTTTTGTGGTTGTAAAAAAATTCAATTGTTACGACTTTATCTCATACTTATGACTAGCAGAATTATGCTGTTCTTTTCATCTTATTATTGCATATTGCAGGGAACAGTGACTAAACATACACAAAATATCTTAATTATCTGTTCAAATGAAGATTCGCAAACTTAACAGATTGTCACAATTGTCTATTCCATTATTAAGTATAGGTTTATGTACTTGGATCTGAGGAATATTATTTATGTAAGGGCTAGTGATACGGATCAGTCGGTCAAACTAAATTATATGGAACTGGATTCAAATTTCCAACCACCTGGTGATTGAAAGTCTAGTTATCCAACAACTAACTCATGGGTTCTTTACCACATTCTCCTTTGATTGTACAATATAAAATCACTACACATATAACAAGACCGAAAATGAGGTTGAAAACAATGAAATCGATACGCGCGTTATAATAACAGTATACTTCATTAGCAGTTTGTTTATCATTAATTTTGGAATAATACTCAATATTACAACAATGAAGAAACCAGAACCATGAGAAAATAACAGAATCTAATACTTTTGTTTTGAATTTGGGTGGTAGTTTCAGAATACAAATTAATAACCAATACGTAACTTATGTTGCCGATTTTATTATTCTAAATAACTCATGTATCGTCCCTCCTTAGTATTTTATAGAATATTCACCTAGTCATTCCATTTATAAATAAACTTACAAACATTATTTTTCACTTAAAGTATCTCATACACTTGTTGTAATTAGATAATATTATGTTATCTTGGAATTTAATAGTTATTAATTAAAATTGACAAGGAACCACATGATTAACTCAATTCATACTATCCTGGTTCAATTATTCTTGAGTTGCTTAAACAGTTATTACAAGTGATACAATACTAAAACTCTAGATTTCTGAATTAATATGTTCAAAATGAAATTGAAGATTAGACATAAAATTAGTTATGACTGAAGACTGCAAAATGATAATTATCCTGTGTAAGTTAAAATATATGGTTAGTAAGAGTTCGATCAGTAGTTTAGTAGTGAATGAAATAAACTGTTTTTCGAAAAGAGATGGTAACATATGTAAATGATTTCGACTTTACGCTATACGTTTCTACATAATTGCAGACTATTATATTGACGAGGTTTCTACTTTTTAATTCAAGCAGCATTTAAAAGATCCTATCGTTAAGACTCACACTATGAACAAGAAAGCTGAAAACCATGTTAAATAATAGGGCAGGAAGATCTAACCAAACATTAGAATATCTAAAAAAACAAAATGAGATACATGTAAAATCTAAAAATCTATAAATACAAATACCAATTTACGTACACTTAATTTTCCAAACATGGGGCTAAAATTGTTATAAGATCTCTATCACCGAAATGTGATAACAGTAAAAGAAATTTGATTAGGCATGCAGTACAGGATACTTTTCTAATATAAAGATTCCCACCTTGTTTGGCCAATAGCGTTCGTAGTTCATATTCTAAATCAGCATGACGATCCTCTAGCTCTTGACAACGAAGCCTGTCGATATAAATTAAAGTTAGCGATACGTTGAGCTTTATATATAAATATTAAACAAAAAAGTTGACGATTACTGACCAAAGTTTAACTGAATGAGAAATTGGTGGGTAAATTACCGGAAACATATATGTACATTTCCCTTATGCTATACAAGTTTTAAATTCAGAATCAAATAGATAAAAATCGTATATCGTATATAACAGTAGGTCTGCTGTTTGAAATCAAATGAATAAAAGCCGTTTCAAGCGCAATAGGTTATTACTCCCTTGATCAAACAGAATATGTTGGAAAAAGTATAAATGAATGTTACACAAACTTGGATAGATAAGTCAAGTTTCAAACAGAGGGCTAACTGATTAAAAGTTGTGTTTCTAAACTGGATATGGAGTGACCACTTAATGGCTAAAAAAACTCAGTTTCCAACAACTAAGTTGCAATTTAAAAGTATGTTCTATCTATTTCAGTTTCGGAGTTATATCACTCTGCTACCGTACAAAATGTGTCGCTGTCAGTGTAGTGAATAAATTTGCACTTTGTTATAGAGTTACGATAAAACAAATAGATAAAAAGACTTTAAAAATGTCATTCAAGTAGTAGATAACAAAATATAGCTCTTAAAATATTTTGTAAATAGCTTCAATTCTTCTTCACTAGACACTTTTGTATACAATATCACTGATCAGATGAAATGCCCATATAATGCTTAACATTATAACACAATTAGCCAAAATAATTAAAAATATATGAATGACATCTCCCTAATTCAAATATCAGTTATCACAAGTTATGTTCTTTAACTTCATGTTGTAAAAGACAATAAGACGAAATTCAAGGAGAATACACTATTGATGGAAGGCATATATAAAGAATTTACAGTGACGATTGCTACAGACACTGCCAACGTTTAACATAAATACTATCTTTTAAAATGAATATCCTGAAACTTCGACAGAAATGTAGAACACTAAATGTATTCATTTCTCAATTCCTTAGAAAACCGCTAAGGGATACGAAGCTCGTACAAAATACTATCCTTATTATACATGTTGTATGAGAATTTAGTTTATATATGATGACTGAAGTCCATTGTTACTTTTTGTACATACTACACAACACATGAAATATAAAGTACCTCCGAAGGACTTGTATTGCCCTCTTTTGGATTTACTGATAACAGTAAAGTTTTAGAACTAGTCGAGAAATTTAGGTGTTTGTGTTATTGTACAGGTGCCGAAACTGGTGGAGCAGAGGAGAGTAATATAAGCACAGAGGGAAACAGTATAGTATATGCCATAGTGGGTCACTTTAGATGTCATTAAAATAGCAACCTGACTGTAGAAAGTGAGATTTACAACACTGTTGTGCAAGCACTTTTGTTATGTACGTCTAAAGCCACCTACGCAAACTGAGATTTTTGATAGTAATAAGTGTTCGATCATTCCTGTTTACATAATGACAGCAGCAGTTGACATCAAAACCACTTAAATATTATTGAGATCCTTAAGTATGTACGGAAGCATAATTAAAGTAAGTTAACGCTAAGACTGATTGCAGCAAACAAAAGGTTGTCAGTTTATTATATGTCGGCGTGTAATAAATAAAATTTCTGATGAGTATCTTTCGATAAATTACACTGCCTTAAAAAAATGGCGAAAACCACGTGGATGAGTGACCACAGCCACCATTTGTCGTAAGCGATATTGATTCTACTCATACTGCTTTCTTTGATCGTTATGATTATGAAGATGAAATCACTTTTACTTCTTACATTCCTTTCAGGGAATGGTTATTCCTTTTTGTGAGGTATCTTGTGGTACTCAAATGCACTTCTCTAACAACCTATTTACATGCAAATATGAAAAGTTATCATGAAATATAAGCGCAAAAAATTAGGCAGCAACATTCAATAAAGGAAATACCTTTGAAGTAACTCTGATTCCTTTTTGAAGAGATTATCCTTTAATTCAACGGTATGGAGCCACTTTTTCAATAGTCTCTTGACGCTTTCATTATTTTCAGACACTAATGTACGAAAAAAATCCGTAGCTTTGATGAAACACCTCTATAAAAGAGTTAGCTTAAAGTTGAAAAAAAATCGCATGAAAATTCCCAGGTAAAAGATAGGGTACATGCCAAAGTTTAAAAATCTAGAAACACGCTAACTACTGCAAAAGCAAAAACCTGCGCAGAAAATAAGCCTCGAAAAGAAACCATTAGAGTATTCACAACCTCTTAGTCTACATTTGAAACATGATTTTCAGCGAATGACAACAGACAATCAAAATATACTTGTTTCTTGTCGACCTACGAAGTTAAACTAGATAGGAGAGCGATGAGGAAAAACTGTTTTAAGAGTAAGTTAACTGGATGCAGCTGAACCACATAAATTAAACTACCACACTAACAAGTAAACCTTTAGTGGTCTATCTGTTTACTATCAAACGATTGCAACAGTTTAAATTTCAGGTGTTATGGACAGACCTGAATGTTATTTAATGATAAAGTGCATCGTGGTTTTGTGAAGTATTTATTGAAAAAGCATAAGCAATAACTGAAAGACAAAATGAAAAGTGCAGTTGAACTTGATTAAACGTACCCGTTTCCAGCAATAAAATAATTTATATAAATGACAACAAACTCTAATCTTTTTCAGATGTACTTTGCATTAAGGAATCTTGGTTAACTAACAGTAACTCAGGGTGAAATGAAAACTATATAGGAAGGACAGAATAACCTACACTATTTCCAGATAGTTTCAAAAATGCGTTTGATTTATATTGTGCACTTAAGGAGTTCATTAGTCGTGCAGTGATAAGAAAGTGCCTTACATAATTATGTCCTACTTACACAGTGCTGGTTCTAAACATATAATTGTAGTCTACCAACAATTAGATGTGGCTGAGTGCAGAAGCGTTCGGCTATGGTGTGAATCAAAACTTTTATTTAACACATCAAAGAACTTATTTTGGTGAGGCGACAGCGCAAGATAAATATTAGAAAGCAACTTCTCTACAACATGTACTATTTTCACTTTCGAGACCATAAGGCACAGAATTTAGTTTTAGGTATGAATTTATGTAGACATTAGGCCTATATTCAATATTATATGAAAGTGAAAACTTTGGCCACGTCTATAAAAAGAGTATCTTACTTTCTCTAATACTTGTTTGAATTTTGCGAGCAGATAGTTCCAGATTGGAAAGTTCATTGTTTATATCATATAGTTGTCTGTGTAATTCAGTGTATGGAATGAAGTCGCTTTGCTGATCGCGTCTGACATCACGTCGGCATAAAACAGGAATAGGTGGGGCAGGCCCTTTAGTGTTAACTGACCTACTTATCTTTGCATTTGATCCATTAAGGGGAGATTTCGAGGACTGTTTTGCATCACTGCTTAGTGAAGAGGACTGTGCTTTGTTCAGACTACCATAAGCGAGTAAACTCGATAAATCATATATAGAAGAGTGAGCGGTCCGAAGATTGACTGATTCATCTGCGACTAATTTTTCCATGGAAAAATTTTGACTACTCTGTTCCATGTACTTGTTTATATGGTTACTAGGCGTGGATACCAGAGATGGAGGGTTTGACATACTTAATATGTCTGAGTGCTCAGAATCTGAAATATTATTAATTTCTTCCGAGTCTAAGGCTGATAAATCGTCGTCAAATGGATTATAAGGCTTATACGTACACTCATACTGAGAGTTGGGATCACGCAAAGAGTCATCTTCGAACGGATTTAAAGCAGCAGGATAAGAAACGATGTTATGATGTTTGGAATTAGAGTTATTTTTACGCTGTTCTATGTCAGCTGATATTTTGGCTTTTATCTTCAAAACACTATTAAGTTCAGGAGACGCATTATTACTTAAAACATCAGGAAGTGGCGGTCTAGAAGGAGGTTTGCATGTTGGTTGACTTTTTCCATTGCTAACAGTGTTCAATTCTTTTTGTGGACTGAATCTTATTGGGAAGGGATCCGCTACTAGAAGTGAAGATGACGAGAAGACAAATAGATCTCGTTTACCTGAGAATTTAGTCAGCGGTGGACCATCAGAACAGTTGGAACCCTTTAGTGTTTTATTCCGCTCTTTGAGATAAGTTAACTGGTTGTCACGAAAACAACTACGATGGTAGTTCCTACTGAAAACAGTCAGCTGCTCGACACGAAATATAGTTTCTCCACAAAGGTCACATATAAGAAGTCCTTCCTCCTGTTCACACTAAAAACGTACTATATGAGATTTGCAAGGACATACCAAATATGATAAGTTTTTATCAGAAAGCTTATTTGAACCTAATTGACCTGGATATTTAGAAACAGATATGGTCATGTATTACCTGAATTTCTTGATAATGCCCCATACAACTTAGAAACGTATTCAAATATTATCTTTTCATTTACATCTTCTAATACTATGACTTGTGGTCTTGTAGGCACCGGTATATTCAATTTTGTTTCTGCAACGAAAAACGCCTAAAACATATCATCATACATAATGGATATATAATAACCAACCAACTTAAGGTTTGTTACAGCATCTTCAGACTTCAAGTGCGAAAAATCTCTTTAAAAAGTGAGATGCAATTTTACTGTCCTGTTCAACCTACATTAGATCAGGGAAATGTTTGTGAATTAAGGCACAAAACGCCAGACCATCTTTCCATGATGATGTGAAATCAGTGATATTAATATGTGGGTACGTTTTGGTTTGTTCAATGCACCAATTCAGAAGACACTGAGAAAAGTTATCCTCCATTCCCCCAGTTGCCACTGAAGTTACAAAAGTGACCAACACTTAAGTTCATCGACTATTAGTACATTTAAAGCGTCTAATTCACAATGTCTTCACAGCTAGTTCGAATAAAATAAATGGAAGAAAATGATTTGGTTATACCTGATAACTTGTTTGAAAATATTTAAAACTAGTGTACAATTTTCGGAGTATAACCAAACTCAAGTGGTTCTGGGCTTAAAATGTTTGTGACATTCATGTCTTTCACAGACTAACAGCCAGACATCATAGATCAGATGAGTCATAAGAGACTTCAACTGTGCAGTTCCCTTGCTTGTTCATGAGTTTATGAATCTGATCTATACTATCTATTCACACATAGATCAAGGAACGAAGAGAAGCTGGTATACTAGCGTTATATGGAGACAGTGAGGCGACATTAGCAATAAACATAGCTAAGAGGAAACCAAAGTATCCTGATAACAAATTTTATGCACTGTGGAGATGCCTATCTCTCCGGTAAAGATAAGTCCTCCAAACCATAATCTGGAAACAGCAATCATTAATGAACTTGATGATTGGTTTGTTAAACTCGGTTTAGGAACAATCATGAAAATCGGTTAGTTACTGTAGACATGTGAACGTACTCAACGAGCTATTTAGCTTCCGGCAAATATTATTTGCAGTCAGTACTTCATGTACCTGGACAAAAATTTTTTCCTCTCCAAAAAGCAATGTAGTTTCAGAACAATTTATTATCATCCCACGAACGAATTAGTAGGTCCATAGGTCATATGTGCTACTAAAGAGTAGAGACCGCCTATAGATGTAACCTTTATCTATTTGAGTAGACTTCTGGCAAATTTTCACACAGCAGACTGCTATCTAAAATAAGAGGTATCGGGACTAAATATAACTTAGTTATGTGGATGAGTGATCTTCTATTTGGGCTTCAACAAAGAGTGCGGGTTAACTCCAAATTACCTAGCTAGGAAACTTTCCTTAACGAAGTGTCACATGATAGATTTACGGAATTATTTTTATTCCGTCTGTGTAGAGACGACCTAAGCCTTCTATCGGCATCAGTTACGTTATTTACTGGTGATATTTAGGTATGGAGTGCTGTTAAAAATGAAGGTAATGTTTCTGAGTCTCAGTATGGCTTCAAGAAATTGTATGAGTAATACTGAACTTGGCAGTTGTTGATACTTTGTTCAAGTGAATATTGATGCGTACTAACCATCAAGGTGCCAAGACATACAATGAACCGTACTGAGCTACGCGTTCCTAGGACCTGCACAGCTGGACGAGCCATTGTTGGTTAAGACTCAAAAACCGTTTCATATTGGTGAGCAGTAGCTTCTGAAATTTTTTAAACCTTCTGGTCGATACGCGAAACCTTTATCTACATGGATGTTCAGACTTCTTTCAACTTTTAGTGTTCATTGTACCTAGATTCAAGCACAGGTCACAAACTGACAGCTGTTGCCTGAGGAAAAGTAGGTTTTTGGGTTCCTGTAGCCACATGGCTTCAGTATGATGAGAAAATGAATAGACTGAATCCAAGTGTATCAGCATTACTTGAAACTTATTCTTGAAATCAGAAACAACTACGATCCTGAGGACATGATGTGAAAGGTAAGAGATAAGATTGACACAAATGAAGATTCATCAACCCTCAAAATAGGACAATCGCAGTCCAAAATACACTCATTTATATGTTGACTGAACACCCACTTTGATCATTGTTTAGAAAAAAATCACTTATACGAAAAGCGCAAGCACGAAAATGTCAAACCTTGAATAAATTTCATATTAAAATAAGTCAATTTTATACTGAATGCAATATTCAACTGAAAATAGGGCAAAAATACATTGAGTAATAATTATACTCAATTAAAAATGGAAGCAATGTCGAACAATAATCACTATGAATTAAAAAAGTAGCATCGCCATTTTATCCCATCATATTACTACCGAAATCTGTTCGATATTTACTGAACTGCTTGCTGAATGATTCGACCCAGGTTTAGTGAAATTTGACTAGCTCTGTGATGAAATACCGCTTATGAGTATATTTAGGTATTGAGGTTATTAAAAAATGAAACCAACGAAAATATAATCGAAACACAACAGTTCATCTGAGCTACTAAATATGACGAAAAATATTATCAAAAGCAGTGCGATGACTTTTGTAAACTACAAGCTTGTTGCTTTGGTAATGAAGGGCTCCTACTTGACCTATTGTTAAAGTAAGGTATGCAGTACTGTAGTGAACCTGTGCAAAATCTCACTCACAGTTTCACAATACTCAAAGCAAAAATACTATGCTAAAATAAATACTGCTGGTAACATGGCAGTTTGAAAATAAGTTAATGGTAAAAAAGAACGCTCGTTAAATTACAAAAGAATAACAGCAGTTTTGTAACTAATGGTACTTGAATGTTCGGTACTAGGTAACCACCACAAACGCGGTTCACTCACTTATTGAATGCCCTACGGCACGAGTGGCATGACAACGTGAAGCAAAGTACTAACACGCCAACATTTTCGGGAAGTAACCGAGGCCTATAAATCCGCGTAGCAAACACTGGCACAAATAGTTACTACAATATGATTATTTTCTTGGATCGGAGTTCGTTGTTATTATAGCTGATATGGGAGCCTGAACATCAGATGGAATAGGTGCATCTGTCGGTTACAAGTGACTTCTGTTTACAGTTGATACGAATGAACAATGAACGTTGAATTTGAATGTGATTACAAATAAAACATCATACGAAAATGCAAGATACCATGGTAGTTTGTCACAAAAATTATTAAAGCTTTATGTTTCTATATCATTTATACTACGATAAGTTTGATGCAAATAAAAATACAAAGATTAGGTGAAAAAAGTGAATTTTGGAAAAAACATTTTTGAAGCTAACTAGAGGTGTTTCAACAGGATGAGATTTTCGTCAAGTATATGAACAGTTTATGTTGGACCCTTTAGAATTAAGCTCATTCAGCTGCTACTAGTCTTCAATGATGTATATAGAAAAGTGCACTGTACACTTTGATTCCTTCTCCAATACAAAAAATATCGTCGTGCATGTAGAGCGTAAATGTTCAAACGATATTCAGCGAATATGCTACTGAACAAGCCTCTATCCTAAAATACGAATTCTAATAAGACTCAACAGTTTCTAAGTTTACTACACCACTAAAACCTCCCTGAGTTTTGTTCCTTACAACAAGCCAACGAAGTATATCCGCTCTTAAACTCTAAAATCGGGGGCTGATGGGTGATTTTGCTGACGAATCAAATGCAAAATTCGCGGTTATAAATTTATCGGAATTCATTTTAAAAAGGCAATTTTTACTGCTGGCATACAAGGATGGTTTAGGGAACCACATAGTTGCAGCGGCACTTAGTATAAAAATCTATTACATCTTGTTGTATTTGTGCTTGACGCCATTTTGCAACAGTAGACGTATGTCATGCACGGATTACTGACACACTAAGTACCCCTATAGTTATCCTAGTGATGTCGGTTAAAGCAGCAATACTAACTAAAAGAACTTATACTGGAGTATTCGACGAGCAGCAATTCTTCGTCGGAATTTCAACAGACGTTTGAGACGGATGCAGTAGTTAGGCACTAGGTCTCCTATTATTCACTGCTTTGTCAGGACTGTAGTTTCCAAAGTAATCAAGTTTTAAAATCTGAATAACTTTATGTTAACTTAGTTGAAACCAAAAAAGTTCATTATGTAAATGATGGTTCTAAGTTTCTTAAAAATTTGAACGTACATTATTACCCAAACAAATAGTACAATCAAGTTGTTCAATCAATAAGTATTCATACAGTAGTAAAAGATAAAGTATATTAAATAAATAGATTGATACAGGATATAAGAAAGTCACTAAATGCAACAAATAAATGTTTTTCTATTTTTCCTGGATAGATCATGTGCAGACTGTTCAAAAGATAATGCTTGATTTTTTTATAATATGGAGTGTTTGCGATACTTGAGGAGTGCTTCAGTTCATGATAAAAAATACAACAAAATCAAGAACAGGAGCAAATCGTTATTGCAGCCATCATAACCAAATATCTACCAAAGCAACACAGATGTGGTTCGGGAAAGACATGGAGATTCAATGAAGACTTAAGGAAAACAACATATACGATGAATGACAAATAGCACCATCTCGAATGGAATCAAAAGATTGTAGACTATGAACATAGATGATCTTTGTCAATTGATTGTGGGCCTACTCGACTTTGACCAACTCACTAACGCCGAAATCATACCTCGCGGTTAACACCTAAGGTGAATTACCCTTTCGCCGTATCCAGGTATTATGACTGCTTTGATGATAACACAACAAAAACGACGTTATTGCAGAAATATATTGTTATGAGCAGGTACAAGGAACAGAGCACGGTCACTGCTACGTGGTCCAGTCCATAGTGTGCAATTTGTTGATGCGCATTATTTGCCATTGTTCTTGACAAGGATCGACGAACTGTTCAACATTAATTGACCCAAATGCCTGATGATTTGGCTAGGACTCAGTGATACTTCACTGGCCATACAGGATCAACAAAATGTACATCTGAAGGAATCAGGAATAATAAATCACAGCACAGAGTATGTGGAGGAATTTTCATATTTTCTGCTTTCACAGAAGATCTTACAAGGATCACTGATAATAAGATAACGTTGAAACACTGCAACGTCCTCCAGATCATAGATAACGCTATTTAATGCATTTTGGAAAGTAGCAAGCAAAAAAGCCTAAACAAATGAGTGAGAGCTTTTCCTCAATAAACCAAAGTATTAACAGTAATTAAAGTGGTGTTTTTACCGTGGAAATTCAAGGATAACAACCTTCAGAATTAACCATACAAAATAGTTAGGACCTGAAGATCTGTTAAGATAACCAGCTTTTATAACAGTTCATGTTTCTTTAAACAGACTGGAACTTACTACCAACTTATAATACCCATAAATCATTAGAGCTTCATCACTGAATCCATGAATGTTACGCATATCCAGGGATTTTCAACGATTTTATTTCAACAACTTTATAAC